TGTTGACCCCCACAATGCATAGTTCAGAATTCCAGTTCTATGTTCTACCCAACCTGAGTACATCTACTATTCTGTTGTTAAATGCCCAGGTACAGTTTATGAGTAAGACCGCTTAAATCCCAATCCAAATAGGAAATAGGGTCTGAGAGCTGCATCTTTCTGACTCTCCATAATTGGAACAAAATAGTTCTTGATTACTCACTAGGATATGATTAGCAGCAAGCACTTGTTATTCAAACTTCACTCATGTCTGTAGGATAGCTCCCCAGGACTCTTACAAAGGGTGCAAACTCCTGCAAATAAAGTAAAATGAGTCACCGTTCGCATGATGCCAGATAAAACAACTAAGAAAGATGACCTCCAAATTTCCAAGAGCTTTCAGAGTTTTTGGATCAGCCATTGATGCCTCAAGGTCGACATAAAAGTGGTAGTTGAAGTACCTATTCAGCCAAGGATCAACGGGTTAGAACTAGTGGTTTTCATATTTGGTTAAGACTTAACGAAACAAAACAGAATAAATGTGGCGGTCATAGGATTGTTATCTGACTTGACGGGTGTGGAGAAAGTATCATCAGCTACACGAAAAGGCCTTTTCTTGTGTGGGCGGCTTTCTATCTTCACATCAAAACACACTGTTGAGAATTTTACAAAGCACACGTGCAAGTCATAAAACAAAGCAAGGTTGTTCAATACACCTTGGTGAGGTTGATGTCCCTCAATGCAAAAATTGCAAGTGCCTTGAGGAGCTGCGCAGGTTTCCAATCTTCAAGTGAAAACACAATGCTGGTCTGAAAATAAAATGGATCATGCAACAAATCAACCAGCTCTGTTTTTCCCATTGGGAAGGACGACTATAAAGGAACATGAAAGTGAGTTCCCACTGCAATCTGTACCTTGAATGGTTTATCAATCTGAGGTACAATAGGTTCCCGAGCAAGCATCATAAAACGGGTGACATTCTCTTTTTCATCCTAAGGGATGTGAAGGACTAATGTTGAGGATAAAGAACAGAATACATTGTCCTGATTTAGCATGAAACCACAATACCTGAATATTTTCAGCAAGAATATCCAGTCCATAAAGTTCTGCAGCTAATGAACTGGCAACAGCACCAGTATCTTGGAGCATTTGTTCTGTAACTAACTATGAAACAAGCATATATCGTTATGGTTAATGACAATGATTTCACTTGATTAGTCACTTGAAATTCATTAATTGAAAAACCGACATGATTCAACAGTATATATATATATATATATATATATATATATATATATATATATATAGGAAAATGGTTGTATACTCCTGAGAGTACGTACTCCCGCTCCTCATATACCACATAGATGAATCTTTTATACCTCTTTATTATTTTTAATATACTTCATTATTAACTACTAGATACCTTAAAATGATTTTCATGAAAAAAATTATGTGAGTCTACATATTTTTAAAGGTTTACATATACACTGATTTGTTCGTATGTGAAAAAAGTATATTGCAAAAAGTACGTCAAAAATGATATTTTTTTCCACAAAACTCGTATTGGGGTATCCTAGAATATTTAGTGAAGTATATTGAGAATGATAAAGAGGTATAATTAATGCGTCTACAGGGTATATTGAAGATGGGAGTACATACTCCCGGGAGTATAGAAAATTAGTCCTATATATATATATATGTATATATATATATATATATATATATATATATATATATATATCCATCAGAAGCTAAATTCCAGGTAGAAGAAAGCATCATTCTACCTTTGCTGCACCAGCAGTGTCATCAACAGCTTGTCTCTGTTCAATTCCTAACTCTGTCAGTGTATGCTCACATTGCGCAAGAGCCTGAGAATATAAAATAATGTGTTTGTAAGGTTCTTACACAAACAAGTTAAAATAATAAGGCCACACTATCCAAGATGTTTACCTGGGGATGGCTCATGACACTTCTTAGGTTTCCAATCTTCACTCCACGATTGGCTAACAAGCAATGCCGAACTGCAAGGCGAACATCTCCAACTATGTGTAGCTCATGACGAAGTAGGAGGTCATAGTTCTGATGTATACTACCGCCCAGAGTATTCTCAAGTGACAATACCGCCCTATCAACTGTACAGTTTTCAACAGCCTGATAAAGGACCAGAAGACATTAAAACTGCAACACATTCATTTGCTTGTGCCACAAAGACCATGGTCTACGTATTACAATATGCCATGGAAGAGATATATATGGAAATGCTTGATCTACTATGAAAAGGCCAGTTTAGATGATCTTGCTAATACAGTAATCTCTCCAGTTCCCTAAGGGATGTCATTCTGAGCATAATACGTATAGTCAACTTACGAAACTTCGACTGCCAATATTTTTTAAATCATTTAAATTAGATACTTCAAACTTATAAGCATAAATTTGCCTCAACAGAGGCTCTCATGAGCATTGTTGTCTTGGAAAAAAAGAACGATTATGGACAGATGATATGTGCCCGTGATAGGTTCTTTCGGCAAACTAGTATTTCTTTGTGCAATACTGGCATACTGCATCAAATAAACACAGAGCATACCCAGCGATACCTGAAATGCAGTATCGAAGTGCTCGCATGGCACCGTCTGGCAATGCGGATAGGCCTTCTTTGCCGCGGACTCGCTGTACGCTCCAGGGAAGCCCTGAATAGTCACCAAACCAAAACTCCCTTCAGATTTATAACGCAAAGAACACATACACAAGCAGGGACATTGCTACGCAATGAACCGAAACAACACACGCGTTTCGTCGAGCACCTGGTAGGCAACCTTGAGCCCCTCCCCGCTCGACTCCATTAGAGCCGCACTAGTGAGAGGCCCTAATTCCCGGTACAGTACCACGCACGCCATGAAGAAAGCACCAACTGATTGGTTAGTTTATTATATATACAGTTATTAGACCAGAAAAGAACGACTAGAGAATAGATCGGATAAAAAAGCGTCGCCGGTCGACTTACGAGGTAACTCATGTGGATTGCAGTAGGCGGGTAGAGGGCTGTCCGCGACAGGCATAGCAGAGGCCCGGAGGCGGTTGAGGTCGGCGGCCCCTACGCCGTCCGCCGCGGGCGCCCCTGGCCGCGAGGTAGAAAGGAGGGGGGCTGAGTTGGCGTTAGTGACGCTCGTGCGTTTAACAGGGCAGCATTGTAACGGGGAGGAGGACAACGAAGAGAAGGCGGCGGCGGCAGAGCATGTCCGGGCCGGGAGGAAGGGGAGCCGAGGGGTAGTCATGGAGGCCATAGCCACCGCGCTGGCTAAGGAGGAAGGAGGGGGGTGGGGTTTCTAATTTTAAGTTGCGTGTTTTCTTTTTCACTTATTTAGGGTTTTTTTCTTCATTTTTTCCTTTTCTTTTTTTATTCTTTTTTTATTTATGTGTCGGCATAGTTTTATTTTTATTTTATATGTTTTTTTTCATACGCACATAAAGTCACCCCTACGAACGCACGCACATCTTACCTTTATGAGCATCTCCAAGATGCTAAGCCGACACATCATTTTAGATTAACGAAGTCTCCACATTCAAGTCGATGGAACGTCTCTCCCACTTAACGCACATCATGGCCTGAAATAAATCAAGAAAAATGTGATCACAAATATTAAGTCTAGAACTTGAACCCTACTAGATGGTTCCACCACAAAAAACCTAACCATCTGAGCATAACTCAGTTCGCTTATTTTATATGTGTTGGGGTATCCCGTGTGTGTTTGTGTATTTTTTTCTCTATGTTTCTGCGTGCGTGCGTGTGCGTGTTTAATAATAATATTATTGTTTATGAATGTCTCCACTTCATAAAGCGCAGTAAGTCAGTTAAGCATCACCACTGTGCACTCAAGATCAGCATGATGAAGGCCCGTGACATGACAGGTTGAGTGGGATTGCTTGAGAGATATCATGATGAAGTTAAGATTTTCTCATAAGTGGGTGGAAATTCTTATGAAAATGGTTAGCTCTATTACATATTCGCTTCTTTTCAGTGGTAAGAATGTTGAAGAGTTCATACCAAGCAGAGGACTTCGACAAGGGGATCCTATTTTCCCTTACCTATTTTCTATTGGCAGCATAGGTGACGCTCTGACTTAATCGTGCATTAATCATACACGTAAATGCACATGCCTCCTGCCTGGGAGTCTCCTAACTGCTCCTAGTCGTCGGCGGCCTCCACGTAGTAGTAGGCTCTGTCGGGGTAGTAGTAGTCGTCGACGAGGTCAACTGGCTCCTGAAATTCATCATCTGATCGGGTAGAAGGGAAAAGAGGTAGCAAAGCAACCGTGAGTACTCATCCAAAGTATCACAAGACTTACATCAAATCTATACTAAGTATGCATCAGCATAAAAGGAATGGGGCTATATTTTTGAACTGTACCGCAGAATGCCGAAATAGAAGGAAAGGCCTAGCCTATCGAAGACTAGCATCTTGAAGCATCTTGCAACATTAGAAAAGTGCATATTAGCATATTTAAAGTAGTAAGTATATTGTAGTAACGCCCAGAGATCCTTCCTCGACTCCCTGTGAGAAAATGATCCCGGAGCCATCATATCCATTTAATGTCTTTAGTATCCAATTCTAGTTGTATAGATCAGGATACAACTCTGAGCGTCCGTTACCGTGGACACGACTCGAATAGATATACTTCCCTATTGGGGTGCACAAACTTACCCAACACGCTCGATTAACTCCGGCCGAACACACTTTCCTGAGTCATGCCCGGCCTCGGCTGGTCGACACACTATAGTCCTACCTAGGCTCAACAAAGAGGCCAGCACGCCGGTCTACATCCTAAATGCGGAGGGGTCATGGGCCAATCGTCCTTTGCAATCCTGCGTATTGCGAGGACGGCCGAGATCAATCCTGGCTACCTCTTTATAGAAAGCAGGAGCTTACGCGAACCACCCGGACGCGTGCCGCTAAACTGCTGATGTTTGAGAACTTTCGGAAGAATCTTACGACGCCGAGTGCCCATACATATTCTCGCGTGGTGGTCAGTGCGGAAAAGGCGAGAGGCCTACTCGGATCACATATCCAAACCCGTTAGTGTCTTGGGTGCGCGCGGAGACGATCAATTATCCATGATTAGTGGTCCCGTCACCCGGCCGTTCCACGTAACTATCTCGCGGGTACCCTCACGGTCAACCCGACTATAGTAACCCTCGCGGGTACCCCTCGAGGCCGACCCGAATTCAATACGGTTCTGAGGAAAAGTCAAAGTAACCTTGTGTCCATAACATCAAGGGGAAATCAGAGGAATCACCCACGATGGATTCCTACTCGATGTAAACATCAAGGTGAACTTGGAGGAATCACTTTCGAAGGATTCACACTTGAGGTGTTGCAGGATAGAGTCGTTATCAGGAGTGGTGAAGGAGGAATCACCCTCCGTAGACCACGACCGATTAGCTACACTACAGAGATATCATTGATACGTCTTCATCGTATCTACTTTTCCAAACTCTTTTGCCCTTGTTTTGGACTCTAACTTGCATGTTTGAATGGAACTAACCCGGACTGACGCTGTTTTCAGCAGAATTGCCATGGTGTTATTTTTGTGCAGAAATAAAAGTTCTCGGGATGACCTGAAACTTCACAGAGATGATTTTTGGAATTAATAAAAAATATTGGGGAAAGATTCAACTGAAGGGGGCCCACACCTTGGCCACGAGGGTGGGGGCGCACCCTCCGTCCTTGTGGGCCCCCTGGACCTCCATCGACCTCAACTCCAACTCTATATATGCACGTTCGGGGAGAAAAAAAGTCAGAGAGAAGGATTCATCGCGTCTTATGATACAGAGCCGCCGCCAAGCCCTGTTCTTCCTCAGGAGGGCAGATCTGGAGTCTGTTTGGGGCTCCGGGAAATCATCGCCATCATCATCATCAACCATCTTCCATCACTAATTTCATGATGCTCACCGACGTGAGTGAGTAATTCCATCGTAGGCTTGCTGGACGGTGATGGGTTGGATGAGATTTACCATGTAATCGAGTTAGTTTTGTTAGGGTTTGATCCCTAGTATCCACTATGTTCTAAGATTGATGTTGCTATGACTTTGCTATGCTTAATGCTTGTCACTAGGGCCCGAGTGCCATGATTTTAGATCTGAACCTATTATATTTTGATGAATATATTTGTGTTCTTGATCCTATCTTGCAAGTTATAGTTACCTACTACGTGTTATGATCCGGCAACCCCGGAGTGACAATAGTCGAGACACTTCCCGGTGATGACCGTAGTTTGAGGAGTTCATGTATTCACTAAGTGCTAATGCTTTGGTCTGATACTCTATTAAAAGGAGGCCTTAATATCCATTAGTTTACAATAGGACCCCGCTACCACGGGAGGGTAGGACAAAAGATGTCATGCAAGTTCTTTTCCATAAGCACGTATGACTATATTCAGAATACATGCCTACATTATATTGATGAATTGGAGCTAGTTCTGTGTCACCCTATGTTATAGCTGTTGCATGATGAATGCCATCCGACATAATTATCCATCATTGATCCATTGCTTACGAGCTCATTTCATATTGATCTTTGCTCCATACTTTTCTATTGCTACTGTTACGATTGCTACAAAACTGCTAATGTCACTTTTGCCAGTGTTACCGTTACTTCCATACTACTTTGCTACTAAATATTTTGCTGCAGATATTAAGTCTTTCAGGTGTGGTTGAATTGACAACTCAGCTGTTAATACTTGAGAATATTATTTGGCTCCCCTTGTGTCGAATCAATAAATTTGGGTTGAATACTCTACCCTCGAATACTGTTGTGATCCCCTATACTTGTGGGTTATCAAGACCTTTTTCTGGCGCCGTTGCCGGGGAGCATATCTCTATTTTCTGAGTCACTTGGGATTTATATCTGTTGATCACTGAGGAATTTGAAAGATCAAATAACCAAGATTTTTTCCCTCAACTACGAGGGGAGGTAAGGAACTGCCATCTAGCTTTGCACTTGATTCTCCTTCTGTTTTGAGTAAACTTGAGACACCTACACCTGCTGTTGATTCTGATATGTCGCATGTTATTGACGATGCCACTTCTGCTATGCATGATGCTTATGATGAAACTAATTCTCTGCTTGATAATATTGTGCCACTAGGTGAATTTCTTGATGAACAACTTGCTAGGGTTAGAGAAAATAAAATTACTAAAACTAATGATATTATTGAAACTGAAGATTATGATTCTCCCCCTAGATATGAATTGTCTGTTGTACCTGAGGGTTATGTTATGGATGAAGAAACTGCTAGAGACTACTTCTTTGCTTGTAATTATAGAGAAGATCTTAAGAAACTGTTAGCTGATACGTCTCCAATGTATCTATAATTTATGAAGTATTCATGCTATTATATTATCTGTTTTGGATGTTTATGGGCTTTATTATACACTTTTATATTAGTTTTGGGACTAACCTATTAACCGGAGGCCCAACCCAAATTGTTGTTTTCTTGCCTATTTTAGTGTTTCGAAGAAAAGGAATATCAAATGGAGTCCAAACGGAATGAAACCTTCGAGAGAGTTATTTTTGGAACGGAAGCAATCCACGAGACTTGGAGTAGACGTCAGGGAAGCTTCGAGGTGGCCACGAGGCAGGGAGGCGCGCCCTACCCCCTGGGTGCACCCCCACCCTCATGGGCCCCTCGTGGTGTTGGAAATATGCCCTAGAGGCAATAATAAAAGTATTATTATATTTCATTGTTCATGATAATTGTCTTTTATTCATGCTATAACTGTATTATCCGGAAATCGTAATACACGTGTGAATACTTAGACCACACTATGTCCCTGGTAAGCCTCTAGTTGACCAGCTCGTTGTGATCAACAGATAGTCATGGTTTCCTGACTATGGACATTGGATGTCGTTGATAACGGGATCACATCATTAGGAGAATGATGTGATGGACAAGACCCAATCCTAAGCATAGCATAAAAGATCGTGTAGTTCGTTTTGCTAGAGCTTTGCAAGTGTCAAGTATCTCTTCCTTCGACCATGAGATCGTGTAACTCCCGGATACCGTAAGAGTGCCTTGGGTGTATCAAACGTCACAACGTAACTGGGTGACTATAAAGGTGCATTACAGGTATCTCCGAAAGTAGCTGTTG